CCTCTCGCCGGCCGCCCCGTAGCTGTGACCGCCCCGTGTCCCCTTCCCAGGCAGCCCGCAGAGAGGGGGCTCGAGAACACGAAGCTGCCCAAGCCTGCATCCCCCCTTGAAAGAACAAATCAGTGAAGGTCGTCTGAAGCGCTTGGAGTCCGTGCGTGGATGGGTGACCGGGCTTTCTCCAACCGGATGACCCTGGGCCGCCGGTTCCTCTGCCTCGAGGGGGCTTGCCGAGAGGGGCACCGCCCGCCCTGCTGGGGCCGAGGACAGTCGCCTTCTGCCTGTGCCTTTCGAGATACCTTTGAGCACCCACGTCTGCGTCCGGTGCCGCCGTGTCCACGCCGCCGTGAGTGTCGCGGGCTCGCCGCGCATCTCCGCGGGCTGCAGTCAGTGAGGCAGCGCCCCGAAGCCGAGCGCCAGCTTCAGGTGGCCGGGGCCTCCGCTCGCTGCGTGCGCTCTGGGGACGTGGCCTCTCCATGAGCGCTTCCCACGCCTTAATCCTTTTGATCGTTTGCACTGTGTATTTTTACACGGGTTCTTGTACTTTGCAGAAACAGAATAAAGAGTTAAAGGTGAGTCCGGCCAGGCCGTCTGCACCGCTAGTCCTTGCCAATGCGTCTGGAATTTTAACGGTGGGAGTTTCCCTGCGAGAGCGGCGCTGCCCGGAACCTGCCCGGGGTAATGTCGGTGCCCCGAGGTCAGCGCCCAGCTCTGGGCTCCGTGCCCAGAGCTGTCTGAAGGGCCTGAGGTGAGCCCCGCCATCTCGCCAGCCCACGCCGCTGTGCCGGGAGGAGGCCCTCTGCTGGACAGGGCCTGGGCACCCTGGGGGGACAGCCGTGGTCCCCCGGGGCACTGGCCAGGTGTCCTCGCTTCCCTGCTCTCTTCAGCTGTCACCTGGGGGCTTCGTTCAGGGGCATTGTGGGAACCTGAGCTTCACCTCTGGTCAGAATCGGGCCAACGTCTCCTTGATCTGGCCGCGTGCTGACTGGGATTTAGGGGTACGGCTGTGAGCTAATTTTCTGGGTCAGTTAAGTGAGTTAATCTAATCTTCATCTTTCCGTATGCGCTGGGGGGAGGGGTGGAGCCAAGGGTGTGGTCACTTGCACTGTCATGGCCAGGTGGGGGGGGCGGCTGCCCTCTCCTGCCCCAGCCGTGCCGTAAGCAGTTTTGCAAAATGTGAAAAGTAAGATGCGGCTTACTAGCATTTAACACACCTGTGGTTGCTGCTGTTGCATCATTCGACTGCCGAGTGGCCCTCGGGCCGCCCTCGGCCCCGCGTGCTGCTGGCTGGCGTCTTCCGCGCGTCCCAGTGCGGTGTCTGCGCTTGTACCACGTGTGCCTGTCCTGCCTGAGACACCGTAAGGCGGTTTTTACCATCCGAGCGTTGTCGTGCGTAATGTGGTTAAATCATCCAGTTTTCCAGAATATAAAGTCAGATTTCAAAGTAGATCCGAAGGGGCTTCGTGAGGGCGTGGTCTCTGTGCTGAATGTGTCTTCCGCCCGTGGTGCCCACATCGTCCTCTCATAGCGGCGAACAGGAAACCCACTTAGATGCCAACTTACATGACGATGATATTTGAATTAACTTGAATTATGTAGCCCGGTCAATTAAATCAAAACAAAGGCATTACAAAATTAGAACAAAGAAGACATAAGAATGACTAGTAAACGTGAATATTAAAGCCTCACCAATGACTAAATTAATTGAAAATAAAACAATGGGATACTACCGTCCAGCTATCAATTGATAAGGATTAAAGACATTGTAATAAGGGCTGAAACCGACCCTCCAATGTGCTCTCAGCGGAGACAGAAAACTGGGTCCACTTGACTGAAAAGCAGCTTGACACTAGGTGTTAAGAAACTAAAAAATGTTTAAGCAAATTGATTTGGAAAGTCCAGTTGTGTGACTGGAATTTACACAACTCCAGTTGAACTGAGGCGAGCTCAGAATGTACAAGCACATTTACATTTATTGATAGAAACAGGGCCTGACCTGAGGCCCAGACAGGGCGTGGCCGGGGCCAGCACAGCCCCTCTGTCTCCTCACACCTCGCTGTCTCTGGCATGCTTGCCAGGTTCGGTGACGTGGGAAGGTGCTCACAGCAGGCTGCTGGGTGGCGAAGGCCCGTGCATGAACCAGAGCAGAGCAAAGCGGGTTCGGGCGGACGTGTGAGCGTGTGTCCGGTGCGTGTCCAGGTAGACACGCACTAAAGACGTCGACGGAACTCATGGTAGGAGCGGACGTGAGTTTTTTTTATACATCCACGCATTTTCTAAGCTTCATAATGTTTGCAAATATTATTTCCGCAGTCAAAAGCAATTTAGCTACAAAAGAGACAAAGATAACGAATAGACGTCTTTCCTTCCCTGGATTCATGTTCCAAATGTTCACCTTTCTCTCTCTGATTTCAATTCTAGACAAGGGGCCAGAGACTTTATTTTTTTTTTTTTTTAGGTTATTTCAGAAATTCACTGGTTACATAGATTGGGAAAACCTAATATCTCAGTTTCCCCATTTGTAAAATGGAATTTCCTGCCTACACCATTGGTTGGCTGTAAGAATTAAGGTGAAATAACCAACATATGAGAAAACACTTCTGCAAACTCAGGGGCCCCAAAGCCACCCTTGGGTGTGATAATCCGCTGGGAGGACTCCCAGAACTCACCGAGCGGGAGGGAGCTCATGGTTATGGTTTATTACAGAGAAAGAGTACGGGTGGAAAGCAGTCAGAAGAGCTGCAGCGGCAGGCTCTAGAGGAGTTCCACTGCCAAGCTGCACTTTCCTCATCCCACACAGAGGAAGTGTCGCCCTCCTGACTCACCAGGCTTTGGTGTCCAGAGTTCTGTCAGGACTTGACCACACAGGTGTGACTTTCTGACCGACTGACATCATGTTTGAACTCTGTCTCGGGCCCTCGCCCCACGTCACATGACTCATCCTCCGGCATAGCCTTGCCACCGTACCCCGAGTTCCACCTGAAGCAGGGTCGGGCCAGGTGCCAGCTCTGACACCCGTTCTCTCCCAGCCAAGGATAAAGGCTGGATATCTCTTTGGGTGAGTCCAATTTTCCCCCTACATACAAAGTGACCGAAAAGAGATGGAAAACACATTTAAAGACGTCAGTGTGGAGGGATTCACTGTGGACTCCATCTAACACCGTCAAGTAAGAGGGGGGGGTCCCTAGGTACTGCGCACACCCTGACGCCCCTCCAGGGCCGCCTTTGGGAAGGGCACCTAGCAGCGGGTGCCACGGAGGACCTCTGCTGTGGCGGTCGCTCACTGCAGGGACCCAGCAGGCTGAGGAAGCGGGGACTGACCGCCGGGTGCAGGACCTGACCTTGCCTCAGTGTCCGCCACACGGCAGATGTGTCCCTCGGCCACGAATTGACCCGGTGAGAAGGAGGCACAGGCTGATTGTACAGGCCGCTCTCTGGGCCCATCTCCCTGCCGCGCAGCTGTGCCTCTCCATGGAGTGTGGGTGAAGTTAAAAATAAACTGGCTCGTGTCCTGTTGCAGAGTTTCAAATCCCCAGCCCGGTGTGGGGCTGCATCAGTAGGGTTTCATAAGCATGAGATTTGAAAAACGAAAGTTCGAGCTTGTTTTCTCTTGAACTTAAAAAAAAAAAAAAAAAAATGAACGCACAAAGAAGGTCTCCCGGCGGGGAGCTCGCTGGGGAAAGCGCCCGCCACCGAGGCCCTTAGCTCGGGTCCCTGCTTCCCTCAGAGGGAGGAATGTCAGCTGCTGCCCAGTGCTGTTTCTGGACAAATAGCTTGTCAGTCTTGGGTGTTGTCGGTCCATGGTGGTTGTGTTTTCTGCTTCTTTCAAGGAAAAACGGGCCACGCGGAAGTCGTCCGAGTGGTGTTCCAGCCAGAACGCGTCAGCTTTGAGGAGCTGCTCAAGGTCTTCTGGGAGAACCATGACCCGACCCAAGGTACATGAGTGAGCCAGTATTTAATTATCTTACTAATTACAGCTGGGATAATTAGTGTTTGAGCTGCATGGAAGAGATGAACCTTGAAATCACACAGGAGCTCGAGAATATGATTGCAGACTTTTATTGACGGGGGGGGGGGGCTGGGGAGAAGAGGCTGAGAGAATAAAGGCCCAGCCACAGCCGCGCCCCCACCCCCACCTCCAGCTGTCAGGGCTGGGAAAATTCCCACAGAGAAAGATGCAGACAATGGAGCCCCGGTCACCTTTGATTGTTGTATTATCCCTCCGTAATGCAGCCTTTTGTCTGCAAAATTAAAGTGTCTTTCTAGCAGCTCCGAAGTTTTCCTGATTGACGATTCCTTTATTTCCCTGAATTTAGCCTTTCTCATCTTTTGACATTATCGGGCTGTTGCTTTCTATGTGTTTTAATGTCTATGGGCGATAAAAAAAAAAAACAAGCGCATATAAAGGGAAAAGGCGGTGTTCTGTGGGGCCGCCTGCCGGGATTATTTAAATATTTCACTTGTCTTCTTTGGAATCTGCTAAGTGGAAATATTAATATCTTTGGGCTGTCAGCAAAGATGGCCAGACCTTTTGCTGAAGGCACAGCCAAGCAGAAGCCCCGTGTCGGCAAATATCATCGCAATATCCCAGAGGGAGCAATTCCCACATTTGGCCCCAGCAGCCTCGCCAGCGCCGCTCTGCCGGTGCGACGGTCCGAGATTAGGCAGCTCCTGCGCGGAAGAGCCCCAAGGAATAGGCAGGGTTTCCACAGACCCGCTGGCCCCGCGTCGGCTGCTGAATGCAAATGCTCTCCTCCGGTGCCAGGTCGCGTGGCCGCCGTGGCTGCTTCCTGACCAACAGTGTGCTTCCAGACGTGCGTTGCGCTTGGTGGGGGCCCTGGCATGACCCAGCGGCCTGGCTCGGTGGGTCCAGGGTTCCGGTTCTGAGAACCATCGCAGGTCAGGGTGACTCGCCACGGGGGAAGGGGCAGATGCAAGGCGAGAGTAGTGGAAGCGCAGGCTCAGCAGCGAGCTGACCTGGGCCCGGGGGGCCGGGGCGGGGCGCCCACCCAGGGAGGGTCCGAGTGGCTGGATGCGGCCCGGGCGGGCTCTCAGCTGAGAGCAGCGAGGTGTGAGGAGGGGCGGGGCTGGCAGGGGAGACCGCTGTCCTAGAGGTCCGACGTCAGCCACTTTGGACACTGGACCGTCCGCTCTCGGGATCGCAGCCTGACGGCCGTGGCCCAGCAGAAGCCCTGCCCAGCAGGCGTCATAAGCGCTCCCTGGGCTCACATGTCGGGAGGCGGGAGGACCCCAGGGCCCGCTCCGTACAGGCAGGGCCCGCGGTGCCCTGGGCGGGAAGCCCTCGCGGGCGCCCGGGGGCTCGGCACCGGCAACGCTTTGAAGAGGGCCGTCCACTTCTCTTCTAAATCCTGTGACTTCTTATGCATTTGCTGCATTTTTAGCAGCATAACTCCGTGAATTCGGTCGCGTCTGGCCTCTGAGGCTCGGGGAATCCCACCTTTAAAGGAACCCCATAGCTCTCCCATCCCACCCACCACATTTGTCTCCACTGTGGCTCCGTCCCTTTTGAATTCTTGCCTGGCCATCTGCACTCGCTCGCTCGCCACCAGACGCCCGCTCCCCGCACGCTGTGGGGCTGGGTCAGAGGTGGGGTTTCTGGGAGGCGTCCCCCCGCCCTGCAGGTGCCACGGTCTCCGTGGCTCCATGCGTCATTTCCGGTGCGTGTGTTTGTGCTTATAAACTCGGTGCTGTGGGGTCAGGGCCTCTCCGAACAGTGGCCTCGCCTCAGTCCTTAGACGCTCCCCGAAGACGCTCGCCGTGAGCTAGCGGAGGTCGGCGCTTCCACACACGAGTTACGGGTGGAGGGTCGCAGTGGGGCCCCCGGCTGCCCCCAGGGTAGCAGCTTGGGGTACCCTCGTTCCGGAAGTGTCTTTATTCTTCTTCAGAAGTATTTTTACTCTGACGGGGTGGTAGCTCGTAGACTCCTAGCAAGAACGAAGAGATTCCTAGCACGGCCCCGGAAGGCCAGCATTGGTCATCAGCAGTCAGGACCCCTGCTTACCGGCTGGGACCATGTCCTTGGCATTGGCCACGGACATGATTCTCAGTCAAAATATGACCCAGGAGCAAAGTCTTTTCATTAGCATGTCAGAAGGCTTCAGTGCCTTACTGTCTTTTTTCTTTTTAAAGATTTATTTATTTGTGCGTACAGAACCGGGGTGCAGGCCAGAGGTGCGGGGCGGTGAGAGGCTTCACCAGAGACAGAGCGGGGAGCAGAACAGGCCGACTGCTGGGGGGAGCAGCGGGCGGTCAGGGGAGGTCTGCCGCGCCCTGTGGTCACCTCCGGGGCAGGGGTCAGTGCCTTATTTTCAAAGCCACTAATGACACGAAGGGGCCACTTAAATTTTTCTTAAGGTACAGTTTACTCCCTTTTGCGGGAGAAATAAGAGCCTAGAATGCTATTTGCAGTGTGGAGATTCTGGCTAATGTCAAAAGTCGACTGTGGTAGAAACAACAAGAACTTAAACTTAATTCAAGTTCCCTCTCAGCTCAATCCCGTCGTCATGGCATCGACTAGACAGGGAAAACCCTGCAAGGTTTTCAGGTCCCCAAGGAGCTGAAGCAGCTCTCACGCTATCAGCCTGGTGGGTGAGAGGAAGCCGCCTGGTCCGCCACCCTGCAGGGAGCCCGCGGGAGGGCAGGGGCCACTTTTATAGCGCTAGGCGGGACAGAGACCCGCCTGCGGCCTGTGCCCTGGCCGGGGCGCCACTCGCGGCCACCTGCAGGCGAAGCAGCAGTGACGACGGCGGCAGGTTTGGCGCTGCAAAGCGCCACACACCACCGTTACCGCCATGGCTGTCCTGGCTCCCGAGCTCACTCCCGGGACAGATGGACTCCTCCGGCCTTCTAGGGGGCAGGAACCTTCTGGAACATGATTCCTGGCCACATGGTCACCAATCTCCCCGTGATTTATTTATTTATGAGATGTATTTGTGTATGCACCCAACAGCTGGGGCGCAGGCCAGAGGTGGGGGGGG